CTAAGTGATGCCATATACTGCTTATCACTTGTAAAATAACGCCGCGTAAGAACCCTTGGCTACCGCATCAACTTCTTAGGTAGGTATGGCAAGCTACAGAGTCAAGCAGCCTTCATTCTTAAATTTGACCCATTTTCCACATTAATTCCTCACCATTAAGTTAATTGACAATTTTTAAGATCTCATTTGATACTTGCAAAAGAGTATTTTAAAGGAGGGGAATGGATTTTCTGATACAAATATTTTGGATTCTACAAGAGGGACATAAACTTCCTGCGTAATGAAATAGTTCAATTAAACATTTTCCACTCCAGTAGCTTGTAGTGATTTCAATCTAAGCAGCCCCACTCTGATCTGTGATTATTTGACTCTTGTTTTCCTTTCATTTTCTAAAGCTCGATTCAGTTTAATCTTTTGTTTACAAAGCTTTTGTTATAAGTCCCTGACTTAGCAGGCTAACAAATGAAGTCCACATATTAATATCTAGAGGGACTTTTCATTTAAATTCAACAAAGACAAAAGCAGCCTGTGTTGTTTATGCACATGACACATATCACAGAAATTTCATTTTGATGTAAAACATTAAAGATAAGTCATGCTTATAATTTTTCCGTTTCTTTGATATAATATTGTCTTTTTTCCTTTAGTGCAATCTCTGATTTTCAAGGCAAACTTGAAAACACAAATGAAAAATGAAGTCGTAACATTATGACTGATTATTTTGTATTCTGTTCCTGCGTGCATCAAGTCTTGACCACCTCTGAGTTTTATTAACACAATAAAACCTTTTAGACATTACCTTTTAATGCTCAGCGTGAACATAAGCAATATCATTAGGTTTCTCTTTTAATTTGTGAGCATGCCAGCAACTCATATCAGATATTCACTGTCACAATAATTGGAGGCAGACGAAAAGATTTTTCAAATGCAGGGCGCTTCACTGAGGGGTTTTTGTTCCTGCGGGTTGAGCTCCAGCAGAACAAGTTTTACCTCCAGAAGAACTGGAGCCATCAATATCATCACCCATTGGGCTTTTGCTGCCAGCAGTTCAGTCTCTGGATTGATACACGCATTAATGATATCGCCGCTTCTTGGCTTGCCATGTGCGGGTGTTGGTATCACCCCCGGTGTAACGGTCAGCGTGCATGTGCAGCCGTTTCCATTAGGAACCCCGTGGAAATAAATTAATGGGAGATTTGTGACGGTCCGCTTAAAATAGCGTTATTTTTGAATTTGTGGGGGGCATTTTAGACAGAACCCTCGAGAAAGCCTCAGTCCTGCAAAGGCTTAGCTTCACATCTGAAATTTTTAACACATACAAGTGAGCAGTCACTCTGAATCAACAGCTCCATACATGTGCATGAAGTTAAGCGTGTCTTTGGAGGATTGGAGCCCGAGACTTGTTACATTTTTTTTTTTTTTTTTTTTTTTTTTGGTATGCGAGGAATTTAAACCAATCTCTTTTACTCAGATGGGTTCAGCAGATTGTTCCTCTACTCTCCAGGCACAGGTTACACCCAGACATCTCTCGGTTTCAGCTTCTCTTATTGTCAAATTTCAGTGCTGTCCAATTCAGCTGCGTACACGGGGTAGCTGGCACACCCGCCCACAAATTACAGAAGTTCAGCCCAGAAATAGGGATACAGAATGTCGTTTGGATGCATTCGTGAGGAGAACGTGAAAAATTGTTCCACGCACCGTGATGCAAAACTTAGCGAATGTGTTTTTTTCATAAGCTTTAGAACATGATGACAGGTCAGTTAGCACCAGAGCTGGCTGTCCCACATTACTTAGCTCTTTTAATTCAGGTGAAACAGTATTGTTCAGCCTTCACATAAAACGATCACTGAACGAGATGAAATCTAGCAGTTTCAATAAACAACATAAATATTTGATTTTGTTCTAATGGACCCAAATGTGGAGTTCAGCAGCATGTAAATTAAACTGCCAAGTGATTCATCATTGTTAAGCCAGCCGTCTGAGGTTGGTTTACAAGGGTCATAGCGGTTCCTAAGTAAAACAGCAATTGGCCTTAACATACATTTTGAATGAAAAAAGAAATGGAATAAAGAAAATCAGCCTTAAGTGTCACGAGCAGAGAGAGGAAAAAAAAAAAAATAGAAATGAGAGATGAGATTCTGCAGATGTAAAACGTGTATCTCAATAAGGCTTAGCAGATGAGTGCTACTCTCACCATGACTTCACCCTGCAGTTGATAATATTACCACAATATTGATTTTTTCAGCAATTTTTTTGAAGATCCGTAATGCACGTGGTTTGATGGGTAATTGTACTGCGACAGAAAGCCAATACATTGTACATGTATTGTTTTGGATGAACACTAATAATGTTGCTACAGAGAAAAGGAGTTGGGCCTGAATTGAAGTTTACCTCCTAATTTTAGACAACATCAAAAATGAACCAGTTTATCCTGTGGGAGTGGCATAAATAAGCAAATGTTATACAAAAAAAAAAAAAAAAAAAAAAAAAAAAAAAAAAA